CATGGGCAGCCAGTTGGGATGCGGGATGCTGAGCGCAGCCTGGCCGGAGCGAGCGTCTCTGGGTACCACACAGCATGTGGTGGGCTGGGGGGGTCAGCTGGGACCCCCGCGTGCTCCCGGGGCACCCCCACATCTTCCCTCTGGTTGAAATAAGAGGAAGAAAACCTTCTTCCTGGGGAAAAAATTCCTGCTGTGCAGGCTCAGCAGGGCAATGCAAGGAGTGGAGAAGAGGAGGAGGAATTACACAGGTGCCCGCCACCCCTGCGAGGCACAGCTGGGCTCTGCGCGGCGGGGGAGAGCGTGTGAAACCCGTGAGATCGTGGCTCGGCGTCGCTGCTGGCAGCACGGATGTGGCAGGCGGTTCCGAGGCACCCAGCGGTCCCCCGGTGTGATTAACAGCCCCCTGAGTCACCGCAGCGTACAGGGCCCCTCTTTCTCCCCCCAGACAATCCCCATTTGTAACGGCGAGTATCGCCCGCCGGGCACGGGGCCGGCGGCTGCTGGGAGCGGGCACGTTGCCTTCGCCCCGGTTCCCATCCCGATGGAAAGGGGAGACCAAGCATCTTGTTTCCTTTCTCTCCTTAGACATGAAAGCACAACCAGCCTGCATGACCAAACTGGTTTGTCAGCTGCTCTGGTATTCGTAGGGGAAGGTTTGGCCAAGGCCAATGTTTTCTCCTCTTTTCCCCAAGTGCTTTGGGTGGTGTTCGGGTAGCTTCAGTGCTGCCCGAGCTGCTGCTGGGTGGTGTAGCCTGGTGCTACCCCAGACACGGGGTGCCTGGGGTAAATCTGAGTGCTGGTTTCAAATGCAGGAGTGAATTGTTGTGACTGCTGATGAGATACTCCTTGTGTTTAACACACAAGCAAGCAGAGTGATCTGCCAGCCCCGCAGGCAGGTAAGGCCAAGCCCAATGAATTTCATGGCATTTTTTTCCTTTCAAGTGATGTGATATTTATTGTTCCTGTCCTGCAGCATCCCTCCTGTCCAGGCAGACAGGGAGACAGGGAACTAGCTCTGGTTCAGCACCCCAAAGTTCTGAGTTACTGAAACCAGGAGGGGTTTTAGTTAGCCCTGCTGCAGTCCTGCCCTGCTACCCCTGCTTCCCAGCTCAAGAACGAGCATGAAGAGTAAAGGAGCTTAAAACATGCTGGGCACAGTATTTCCCCAGCTCCACATCTTCAGTGGCAAGTAGATAATTTCCAGTTAAAGTAGATTTTCAGGAGGGGTAGGTGGGAGAGAAGATTCCTTCAGGACTGGATTAGGCACAGCGGGGGAGCATCACAGCAACCAGACAAGGCTTGGGTTTTTAATCAACCTCTGTCATTAACACAGAATTAGTTGGTGTGTTCACTGTCTTTTCAGCAGGAGGACAAGCAAACTCTGTACTTGCTAATCTCCCTTCTTGTGTGTCTCTGTGTGTCTATATGTATAATATTTATATAGATACTTATACACACACTTAAACAAAAGACACACAAGGACTCTGCCTAAGGGTTTGCGACTGCAGGCGGGAATGCAGCTTGGGAGAGTGAAAAATAAATTAATGTTGTTAAATGCCTTGACGTCTTCTGAAGGCAGCTCCTTCTGCGGCTGTGCCACAACGTGCTCATCCTGGGGATCAGCTCTTCCTCTGTGTGTGCTGCAGGGGGAAACTGCGGCTGGGAAGCGGGAGCTGCACCTTCCCCTGTGTCCATCTCCACGGTGCAATGATGCGGGATGGAGCCTGGGGCTGCTGGGCACAGGGGCTGAGGACCTGCCTGGGCTGGCTCGCTGGGCTGCTATCATCTCATGATTAAAACCAGAAGGCCTTGGAGGTGCAGTTTGCGGCCGGCATTCTCTGCAGCCGTGGCACGAAACGCCTGCCCACTCTTTGGCAAGATGGGATCGCTGCCCCCCGCTCCCAGGGGCTGGGGAGGAGAGGTGGGGCTTGGATCCAGGCAGAGCAGAAGGGACCACAGTCGACAGGAACCTAACGTGAGGCTTCTCTTGGTATTTAACCGGTGGCAAGGTGCCAGAAGCTGAGTGTCTGGGCGGGGGGGCAGGCAGGACCGGAGCCTGCTGTCTCTGCACCCTTCTTATCCTCGTTTCCAAGGAGGGAGGTCTAATTGCATTTGCCGTTGGCTGTCTTCCACCTGGGATGCCCGTGGTCAAGGGCAAGGTGTTTCCTTGGCTTTAGCTCTCAGCAGAGGTGATTTCCAGGGTTGTGACCAGCTCCCCATCAGAGTCCCCTGACGAGATGTCTGGGCAGGAGAGTCCCCTGGGAAGGGCCCCTCATCTCCCCCAGGCTCTCCTCCCGCTGTCCCTGCTGCAACTCCAAAGGCTTTTCTGCCCCAGTGCTGGCTCCTGGGACCTTCCCTCTTCTCCCTCCCTCCTGTGGAGAGGCAGCCAGGCATATTTCATGTTAATGCTCTGCCTTTGGTTTCCTGCTGTTTTTCTTTTCCCATTGTATGGAGCATTTCCCCATCTGGGGCAGGAGGGAGGGGGTTTTCCCAGCACGGCCAGGCTTTGGTTTGCAGCCTCCGCAGAGGTTTAGCGGGTTCGTGCCAGCTTCCATCCAGCCCCACCAGAGCCCGGCCAGTCTCTGGGGTGTGCAGGGCACGGGCAGTGCTGGAGGGGGTCGTGAGCGCTGGTTTGGGCACAGGACACTGTGACATGGGGCTCTTGGGTTCCCTTGTCATCCTGAAAAATCTCTGGTCCAGGGGAATTTATATGCTCTGCTGTCTGATAAATACCTTACACAGTGGAGGATCAGCACATCCCTCCCCTCTACCTCTGTGTTTCCAGGACTAGTATCACCTCTAGCTCACAATAACTGTGTCTAGGAAATGTAATAAAATTTCTCCTTGTAGTTTCACAGCCTGAGATCTGATGCCTGTGTGCCAAAAACCCAATATGACATGGGCCAGAAACTACAGGGAAACTGCTGATTTGGTTGGACTTGCAAAGATCAAGGAGATGTGGGCAGGAATAATAAAGCCAGTGGCCTGTGTACATTTTGGTGCCATGCAAGAGCAGCTGCTGTGATAGCCATTGCTTTTCTGCAATGCACCCTGACTTGTCCAGATGGGGTTTTAAGCCTTCATGAGATCATGGTGGGGAAAATATTTTCATGCTTTAAGAATGGGTTTGTGTTAGGTTACAGGAGAGGAAACAACTTCAAGTTGTTATGTTTTAGAATGCTGAGTGAAAGCAAAATTGTGGTAGGAAAGGTTTAGACTGTGCCATGCTTTTGAGAAACAGGACTTTCTGTCTGGGTGCTTTGTAGCTCACATTTATCTGCAGTGATGTAACCGCTAGGGATTATCACTCCGTGTCCATATGTATGGAGCTGGCGATTTTCTAATTCTGGAGAACATTATAAAAACACAACTGAGAAAGAGGGCCAGACACCTCCTCTCCAGATTACTCTCAGGGCTACCAAACCTCCCCGCCGCCCTGTCCCTGGGAGGCTCCGCTGTCCCTGCAGCCTCCCCCCCGTCATGAGCAGCCTGTCGCTGCTGTATTTTGCCCCCTGGTACCCACGTGAAGTGGGGATTTACCCCCGTATGGCTGGGGCGATGGCATGTCCAGGCTATAGGGTCCATCCCCGGGCAGAAGTGCTGTGGCTTTGCCTGGTGAGCAAGCCGCTGCTCTCGCCTGCTGGTGTGACACTTGCTCATTCCCAATTTATCCTGACTCACCGGGACGGGGTACGTGGTGACTGGGTGACTCTGGCCACGCTCAGGCTTTTACTGCTGCAGCCTGATGCCGCTACAGGATGCTGCTTCCTCCGGCCAAGGCAGGCAGGCTGGTAAAGGTGTTCGGTGGGAAACACATTTTTTGGCTGGGGCTGAGTGATGAGTGTGTCCTAGCAGGAAGCCGTGCTGGTCCTTGCCACGCTGCAGCCAGAGTGGGATCCTCCAGGTAGAAGGGGTGTAAAGGAGATCGACTCCAGAGCTGGAGGAGAGGAGGTTTGGGGAAGGGGTAGGGAGGGCTTCCAAAGCGGCGAGCAGCGGGCTGAGAGCACGTGGAAGGTGCCTGCCCTGCCCGCAGGGAGGTGGTGGGTGCAGAGGGTGACGTGTTTGGGGATGACGTGACGATGACTGTTACGGGCACGCAGAGGGTTTGGGCAGGAGGAGGAGAGAGAGATGCCCTGGGGCTGCCATATCCCGAAACCATTCCCTCTCCCCACTGATGCCAGCAAAGCCCAGGTGCTGCCCGTGCCCAGGAGGGATGCTGCTGCCTCCGGGGGGATGCCCGGGGGGGGGAATTGAGTCACCTCCCAGAGGTGGGTGGTCAGGAGTAGCATCGAGTGCAGCTTAGCACCAATCCCCTTCTTCTCCCTGCCCTCTCGCCCACCACCAACCCCCTGGACGAGAGGGGGGAAAGAGGCTTTACAAGCACAAGGCTCTGCAGCGGGCAGCAGCCGTGCTGTCCAGGGGCAGTCCGTGACATTCCCGGTGCTCAGCCCACCTCTCCTTTGGGATGCGGGAGAGGAAGCAGCCACTTTCACTTTTTATTCCTCATTACTTTGACTCCGTTGCACTAACAGGATGCTGGGCGGCTTGTTTGTCTGCTGCAGACATCCCCGGCGGCGGGGAAGGCGGGTGTGGAGCATTCCTGTGACTGTGGCTGTTAACTTCTCCAAAGGCTGGGCGCACAGACTGGGCAGAGGGAAGCCATTTATTTTCTTTAACGTGCAATTTATGTGTTGGAGCAAGTTCAGAGCGACAATCTCCGTCCATGTAAAGGGCCGATAAGAAGAAGAATGGTTTGGCAGAGCAGATTGCCCCCGGAGTGTCTCCGCTTTGCAGCAGCACATCCTGCGTGGGGATGGGGGGAGGCTGCAGCCTGACCCCATCTCACCCCACCCTACTCATGTCCGCAGCACTCTAGCCTTTACTTTAATTATTGCCTTGATCCATCTGAGGTGATTAGAGTGGGTTTGGTAGCCTCTGGCCACAGATGACATGGCAGCAGGGTTTTTTGATCTGTTGTTAGCAATGTTCCCTCCTATGCCTCCATCGTGTCATGGCCAAAAACCCAAGAGCCATCAAAAATGACGGGCTTAGCTGAGGTTTTCCCAAGTCGCATAATGCAAACATATAGACCAGATCAGCTTGGCACCTTCAGGAGGTGTGGCTGTTTGGGTTGCAGCGAGCTCAGGGAAAAAAAAACGTAACTGGGAATTTCAGCACAGCCCTGGGTTTGCTGCACTGATTCCCATCACATCCCCTCCTCCACACACCCCCCCTAAAGCCAACATGTGCAAATGTCTGCCCGTGCTCTGAGCTGCACCTCTCCTGCGTCTCTTCTTGCAGCTGTTCCTCGAGAAATACGGCTACTTCGGCGAGCTGGGGGCCGGCACTCACAGCCGCGCCGAGTTCACGGAGGCAGTGAGGTATGAGCCTTTTATTTAAAAATGCAGCAGAAATTCAGCAACTCTGGCCGCGTGGGAGCTGCTGGTGCTTGGAGGGGGGGTCTTTCTACAGCTGGAGGGGATCTTTTTGCAGCCAGGGGCTCTCTCTCGCATGGTCTGATGATAAAGCACAACTGGTCCTTTTTGGAAACACCAGTCTGTACCCAGCTCCCACAGCTGGATGCCGGCTGCTGGCAGCCCAGCGCCTCGCTGCGCTGCTTTATTTGCCTTTTATGGCCCGGCGCTCCCCTTACAGTAATATCTGCGGCAAGGCCGAGGTTGGGGACGGCTGGGAGATGTCAGGGGGCCGAGGTGACAGCCTCCGCTCAGACTTCTAATGAGATCACACTGGCTCGAGGAGCAACCCCGGCCTGACCTTGTGCAAAGTCAAGTGCAAAGTCAAACTGGTGTTGAAAACTGGGAAAGGCATTTTTCAGGCTCCCCTGTCTACTTTTGCCCTACTAGGGCTTGCTGGTCAGATGTGGTTGCAGGGGCAAATCCTTCTTGTTTTGTCACCAGGACGCATTCCCGATGGTGGGGCACGGGGCTCGCCGGGTGGAAGCTCTGGCTCAGTTCAAACACCACGCACAAACCTAAGCGAACCCCCCTGGGGGATTCCGGCCGTGGGTGCTGATGTCTCCTTTCCTTTTCCAGGGACTTCCAGTGGGTGACCCACCTCCCGCTCAGCGGGGTCCTGGACTCCCCCACGCTCCGTCAGATGGCTTTGCCGCGGTGCGGCACAGGCGACGGGGCACGCCGGGCATCTGCCGGCCGGCGCCGCAGGCGCACCACGCCGCAGGGTGAGCACCGACACTGGGGGCACCCGGGGGGTTTCGGGGGTGCCGGCAGGCCAACTCTGCCATCCCATAACTGGATTCTTGGAGATGCTGCTGCGGGTGGGAGGTGCAGCCCTGCCAGCACAGCGTCCATCCCAGGACCTGCCTGGGCTTCGCACCGCTTTATTTTTAAACTTCTTTATTTTTAGTTATTCTGTATGGCTTGATGTCAGCAGTGATTAGAGAGATGCAAGTCCCACTTGCAGGGAAATTCAGCTCTCCGGGGTGGTTTTACTGCTGTTGAGGGAGCCAGGGCATCTCCCAGGGAGGTATCAGGTCACTGGGGCCCCAGACACGGCCGTGGTGGCATGATCTGGAGGGCAGGGGCTGGCACACAATGAAATTATCACCAGGCTTTGCTGAGCTTTGAGACTTCTACTGTGCGTTAGTCACACAGCAGTAACCACAAAACCTGTTGGTGTCGGACTGCCTGGCCATGGAACCATCTCACCCACCTTTATGGGGTTTAACTCTGTCCAAGCAACCTTTCTTGCTCCTGCGCATCCAGGGTTGGGCCTCTTGTCTCTCACAAGCTGCCTCCAGGGCTTGTAGATGAGTAACTGGATTCCTAGAGAGCAAGAGGGCTGGGACCAGCTGCGCTTAGGACATGGGAAAAATGAAGGCGAGATTAAGTAAGGGCTCTGTGCCTTGTCAGGCTGTCTCTGCATCTGGCAGGGCTGGCGATGGATGGTCCCAGGAGACAGCCCGGTCATCCCCCTCCTGCTTCTGACTTTTCTTCCAAAACCCTGACAGGGAGCATCGGCCCTGCAGGCGCTGTCCTGGGCAGAGGGTCAGCTGTGCCCCGGCAGGAGGGCAGGGAGGCAGAGCCGGGAAGGGCACGCAGCAGGAGATGGACAAACAGAAGCAGCCTGTGCCCTGTGGCTCACGGGGCTCCTTTTTGGGGGGGTCGTGGTCCACGGGTGGGTGGCAAGAGATACCCAGTGGCTCTGAGCCCAGGCAGAGAAGGGCTGCCTGGGGCACATGTTGTTGCTCCGGTGGTCTGGTGCCGTCAGATTTCCCCGTGGCAGCAAGCAGGGGTGCAGTCGGCAGCAGCACCAGCAGGCAGCAGGGAGGGGAGCATCGCCATAGTGGTGCCCAGAGGCTGGAGGGGAGGGAGGGAGTGTCCCCACGGCTGGCGGCACCGACCAGGAAGGCCGGAGGCTTTGGGCAAAGTTGGCTGTTTATCCTACTTGAATCCGGAAGCCGCTGCAGCCGAGCCAGCAAAGTGCTTTGTTATCCACCCCTCTCCCTGCAGGAGCTTCGCCAGCCGGCCGCTGTGTCCGTCCCCCCGGCAGCTTCGGGCAACGCTCACACCTCAGCGCACGGGCCAAAGCCCGTGCCAGCTGGGCTGCTGGGCTTTGGCTCCCAACCGCGTTAGCCTGGCGGAGGTGGCCAGCGTGGGGCTGGGGAGGGCACCCATCCCTCCCGCTGGTCCCGGGGTCAGTCCCAGCCCAGCAGTGGAGATCGGCTCCCTGCGTGGGACAGGGTCCAGTCCATCCACCCGTCTGTGCCCATCTAAACAAAACCTCCCCTCTGCAGTCAAAGCCCAAAGAGCCTTTCTGCTCTCTGGGAAGGTTTGGGGACAGGTCCTGTTTGGAAATTGGGGTCTGCAGTGGAGGGTGCTGGGAAGAGGACTTTCTTCTAGCTGCCTTGCTGGGTTTCACCAGGCACCAGAGCTGGCCAGGAGCTGTGCTGACCAGCAGGTCCTCGGCCAGACGGTGTGTTGGGCAGCCAGCATCCTGGATTTCCCCTCGGGGAGCTCCCTGCCCGTGATTGTCCCGGGCTCAAAGGGCGCACGCAGTGCCCTCCTCTTCCCAAGAGCCGGCCGTGTTTGCCTCACCCAGCCCTGCCTGCTGGGGCCATCCATCCTCCTCCGCTGGGAGATGCTCTGCCCCTGCGGAGGGAAGGATGGGGTGCCGGGGCTTTATCTTAGGGCTGCAGCCATCCAGGCAGGTATTTAGCCTTTGCCACATGGGGTTTGTCCTGGCTGGTGGAAAGCGCGGCCGTGTCCCTTTCGAGTTGGAGGCCGTCGTCGCGCTGACGAGCAGGGGGAGAACCGATTCTGTCCCCAGAACTGCAACCAGCCAGCCCGGAGCCTCCCCTGCCCTGGGCTGCTCAGAAACAGGGGAGGAGGAAACAGAGCCGGGCTGGGCTGTCCGCCAGGTTTGCTGAGCAGCTTGGCTCAGCCCCACAGCAGCACACCCCGGCGTGCTGCCGGCTCCGTTCCCCCTGTTTCCCCGCACATCTGGGGCAGGCACAGGCACCGGAGGTCTGTTGCTGCTCCCACGCCTCGGCACCGGCTCCGGCACCTGCATCTCCCCAGCACGGCCCCATGGCTTCTTTCCTGCTCCCAGCAAGATGTAACTGCAGGGCCCTGGGGTCCCCACAGCTGCCACGGGGTGCTGAAGGAGGAGGGGGGGGCTGCGATGCTGCGCGGTGGCTGTGGGAACGCATGTCTTTGCACTCCTGTATGGTGGGAGGAGGGTGGGGAGCTTAGGGGGATCTCATGGGCTTGTCTCCTTCATCATTGCCACCATCTGCCCTGGTGTTATCCGGTCTCTGTCTCCCCTGAAAGAGCTTTTAAGGAAGCCATAGACAGTAAGATCCTCAGCGCTGGTAAAATGCCTTTAAAATGGATGGTGAGCAGTGGTTTGTTCCTGCTGGGATATTCCCGGCTGGGATTTCAGGCAACAACTTCTGCAGGTAGAAATGGTCAGGATGCCCTTAAAAATGTGAAAAGACATCCCTGCCACTGGGGAGCTGGCCTCATTTTCCTTGCCTTGGCTTAGTATCTGCTTTGTTTGAATTACACATACAGGGGAAAAAAGAAAAGGGATCCCCTATAAAACCAGACAAGGCTGGAACTCAGGGAGGGAGTTCAGGAGAGACAGGGAGGAGACCGAGGGAGCTTTGGGTGCTGGGGAGCCCCAGCCCGGCGCACACACCTCCCGTGGACCCCGGTGTGGGTGTCCCCGCAGCATCCAGGCTTGTTGCAGAAGGTGCAGAGGCACCGCAGGGACTGACCGCAGGGCTCTGCTGCAGCTCCCCCCAGCAGAAACAGTCACTTTCCCTCCCTGCCTGTGCTCGCCAGCCAGGGGGGTGAAACCCTGGATGTCTCTGGGGTCTCTGGGCACATGAAGGGTATCGGCATCTGCTGTTACGGCAGTCGGTACCATTCCTTCGTGGGGATGCATTTCATACCCAACTGTTCTCCCCTTGAGGATCGGCTCTTTTTCCCCCTCTGGCTGGTGCACAGCTCCTGGCAAATCTGCCTTATCCAGGCTGCAATCCTGCATCCCCCCATCCCCGCCTTCCCTTGTGCCTCCAAGGTGCTGCCAACAGCCCTTCTCACTCCTTTTGCCTTTAGGCCACTTGGTTTTCAGAGGTGGCTTTGCTTTCTCTCCCTGAAAGCCAGTCCTTGGGCTGCATCTTCTTCTTGGCGTGAGGCTGGCATCAGGCAGGAGACCTACATGGCAGGGACCCATGCTGGATTTGGCCCTGGAAAGCATGATGAGGCAAGGGGGGGTATCCAAACTGGGTGCACCAGGTTCTCCTCTCCTCAAACAGGTTTTGGCCCCTCTCTTAGGGTTTGGTTGCAGCTCCAGCCTTGGGAATCTCTGGTTGGGATCTAGTGGTGGCACCTTCAGAGGGATTTAATGAGTCAGAGCCTGCTGCTGGCGCGGGGTGCTGAGGGTGCTGGTGGGACGCCTGCGTTGACCTTCAGCTTCAGCTTGGGAAAGCCGTGGCATTTTGCAGCTCTGGGAAGCTTCCCTCCGCCCAGGCAGCCCCCGGGCGGGAGAACAAGTCCGAGTCCCCATCACTGTGCAGATCGTGCCCCTCTTGCAGGTGGGAGGTGGTACAAGCGGCACTTGACCTACCGGGTGGTGAACTGGCCCTCCTACCTGCCGCAGCACGAGGTGCGCCTGGCCGTGAAAGCCGCCTTCGAGCTCTGGAGCAACGTGTCCTCCCTGGTGTTCTGGGAGGCGCGGGACGGCCTGGCCGACATCCGCCTGACCTTCTTCCATGGGGACCACAACGACGGACTCAACAACGCCTTCGATGGGCCAGGTGCTGGTCGCTTCCCCCTCGTAAGCTTCTCTTTTACAACGTGGGCTCTTCCCTGGCTGGGAGGAGGACGGGGGCAGCGATGGGCTGGGGGTGATGGAGGCAAGGCTCTGCCCCAGCAGCCCCTCTAACCCGGTTTACACCAGTTTGCTTTCTGATTTTGCGTCCTCGCTCCCAACTCTGCAACTGAGGTCTGCCAGCGAGGCAGCTGACATTGTAGGATCATGCTAATGGCTTTCAAGGATCCCTCCCCCCCCCACCGACAGCATCCTCCAAACCTCAGTTCATTCCTTCCAGCTGAGACTTTCTGCTTATCCACTATCAGACAAGCCCAGGTTTTCTCTCTTCTTGAGCCTTTGCTCGGCATGGGTCGTTGCAATGATTTCAGTCCCTGGCCCGAGCCCAGCAAGAAACCAAACCACAGAGCAGACAAACCCCGCCGTGCTCAGGAGCAGAAGGACAACTGCTCTGGGTTGCACTTGCTGTGGGAAATGCTCGTGGGAAGCTGCTGTTCTTTCTCAGGGGGCCTCCCGAAGAGCTAAAATCGATGCATGTTTAATCCAACCAAACCTGTATGTGCCCCCCTACCCCTCGGCTTGTGGCTGAGGTCCTCTCCTGCCCCGTGGTCCCTGATGGCTCTCGTGTCCCCAGGAGGTGCCCTGGCTCACGCCTTCTTCCCCCGGCGTGGAGAAGCCCACTTCGACAGCGCCGAGCGCTGGTCCCTGCACAGCGGCAAAGGGCGCAACCTCTTCGTGGTGGTGGCACACGAGGTGGGCCACACGCTGGGGCTGGAGCACTCCCCGGTCAAGAGCGCCCTGATGTCTCCCTACTACAAGAAGCTCAGCAAGGATTTTGTCCTCAGCTGGGATGACATCTTGGCTGTCCAGAACTTATACGGTGAGCCTGGCTTCCCTGGGCATCTCTTGGTTCCTCCAGGGCTGTTCCCTGGGCTGAAGGGTGAGGAGCAGGGATAGGAAGGGGTCTCTGCAAGGGGAGAGGACTACATGCAGGGGTCATGGTGGAGATGGGGCCATCCCTTTGCAGGTGGTGAGGAAGATGTGATAGAGGGTGTGGGACGGGTATGAGGTCTTCTAGGGTAGGGAAGGTTGGACTTGCTGCCTGCTTGTTTTTAACTGGGGAAACACTAGTGCATGTCTTTTGGGGGTACCAAGGGATCTTTGCCACCAACTTATGAGTGGGGACAGGAGCCAAACAGTGGGGCAGGGAGTGTCTGGAGCCCTGGGATGTATCCCCAGCCCTGTGCTCACACAGTGCTCTGGAAAAGCCGTTTCCCTGCCACTTCTCCGCGACTCACTGCTCCTTGCAGGGAAGCCCTCCAAGGGCTCGGCCGTCCAGCTCCCGGGAAAGGTCTTCACTCACTTCCAGGACTGGAACACGGACTTTTATGGCAGGGACCAGCAGCAGAGGAGCCTCAGCGCCTATTACTGCCACTCCTTCTTCGACGCCATAACTGCTGGTGGGTGTTGGCTGGTGCAACCCTCTCCCAAAACACGCACCCCCACCCCTCGCCCCACTGCTGCAGCAGCCTGGTGCTGCTCTGATAAGCTCCAGGGGTGGGAAAGGTGGGTTTGGCTGCTCCACAGCCCTGTACGTGCTCCTGGGGCTGGTGGCATCACCGATGCACATCGCTGCCGCAGAGCAGAGTGCATCTTGAGGACGTGACAATGGCTTGGTGTGTTAGGAGGGGGGAAGACATCCTAAAACTTGGGCCGTGGCAAGGCTCATTCGCTGCAAGAGCTCAACCACGAAAGATGAGCCTTGAGCGGGAGCTGTGGTCAGCTTTTATCCTCTCCAGTCTGGAGTGGAGGCAATGAATTATGGAAGCTGAGGGACTGGCTGGCAAGACAGAAGGGAGCCTCCAAAACCCAAGCATCCCCAAAGCACGAAGGAGCTGCATGAGGAGGAGAGGGGAACAGGGGAGCGGCAGCTGGGAGGTGGGATGAGGTTTCTCCCCCAGGACCTCCTCACTCCTCCCTCTGCCCCGCAGATGCGGATCACAACCTCTACATCTTCAAGGGCAGCCACTACTGGGTGGTGCCAGCCAGTGGCAATGCCAGCGACCCCCAGTCCCTGCAGACGCGCTGGCCTGGCCTCCCTGCCGGCATCGATGCCTGTGCCTGGTCCCAGCTCAGTGGCAAATTTTACTTCTTCAAAGGTAGGTGAGGCACGGGCAGGAGAGCTCCCTGCGGGGCTGCCGCTGCTCCTGCTTGCTGGTTGGGCTGTCTGAGCGGGGCTGGAGCACCTTCTCCTGCCCCTGGCCCCTGTCCCCTCCCGCTGGTCCCGTCCCAGTGCAGAGCTGGGACATCCCCAAGCTCTCCCCAAAGGTGCGTGGCCGCAGGGGAGCTGAGACAAGCGTGGCATTTTCATGGCACACATGGCTCCCTGCGCCGGGCGGGGGGCTGAGCTGCCATGGGGAGCTGAAATGCCGCTTGCAAGCTGCCCGGCAGCACGCCGCGGCCAGACGGGTAGAGAAAGGTCAAACCAGGCAGCCCGGCTGCCAGAGTTAGCCCCAACTTTTAATGGAAACCAGTTGCTGGCTCATCAGAAAGGGGGCTTTGTTGCTGCGCCTGGGTGAGAGCCAAAAGCCCCTCTCCCTCCCCAGCCCTCGGCTACTCCTTCCCTCCCTGGGGCTGGGTCAGGCCGCGGTTTACGAGCAGAAAAAGGGGCTTTTGTCTGCCTGCTTCGTGGGGACAGGGCTCTGCAGTGACACGGCTCTGTGGGGACAGGGCTTTGTGGGGACAGCCAAAAGCTTGGCCGCAGTTGCAATTCCCGCTGCTGCAGTCCGGGGCTCGGCTCGCCCGGCCCTGGAGGGGTCAGGGTCCGTCTGTCCCGCTCCCTGTGCAGGCACAGAGGGGAGGTTTGCAAGGAAGCACTGTGGGCTAACAGATGGTGTGGTGGCCTTGCTCTGGCCCTGGCAAAGAGTCCCTTCAAGCCCCTGAGCTACCGTGACTCAGTTTCCCCTCCAGCCTGACCCATGGGGCAGCCGCCCAGTGATGCTGGTTGGGTCCCCAGCAGGGTGGATGTCGCAGACGCGTGTCTCGGGCTGCAAGGCTGCTCCTGTGGCTGAGTCCTTCCACATCTCCTGGAGCTGGTGGTGCGATGGACCCCCGTCGGGGTGGGCTCTAACCCCTCGCTCCCCTGCTCTCCCCAGGGGGCCGATGCTGGCGCTACACGGGCTCCACCTCGGAGGCAGGTTTCCCCCAGAAATGCAGCGCCCGCGGCCTCCCGCGGCACCCCGACACCGCACTCTACTTCCAGCAGCTCCGGCGCCTGGTCCTCTTCAAAGGACCCAAGTACTTCGTGGTGAGCGAGGAGACCCTCGGCGTGGAGCCCTACTACCCCCGCAGCCTGCGGGACTGGGAGGGCTTGCCCCCCGGCACGGCGGGCGCCCTCACCCACCGCGACGGCTTCGTCTACTTCTTTCGGGATGACCAGTACTGGCAATTCGACCAGGCCAAGCTGCAAGTGGTGGCCACTGGCAAATGGGCCACCCAGCTACCCTGGATGGGCTGCTGGGATGCAAATGGTGGGCAGGTCCTCTTCTGAGCAGAGAGTCTTGAGACAAAATGGGGCGGGGGGGGGGGGGGGGCTGAACCCCACCTTGCTCGCCTTTGCCCAGATCCTTGTTTATTTGACTCTGGATTCCTGTCTGGGGAGGGTTTGGCAGGGACGGGCGGGTCGGGGCTGCCCACGGCTGGCTGGATCCGTGGGTCGGTGGAGCGATGCCCCGGCGCAGCAGGGATGCAGCCGGGATGGGGCAGCCGGCAGCCGGGGAGGTTCTGCCACAGCCAGGTGGGCTGGAAGCTTCAGGAGACAACATTTTTTTAAAAAGACCACAAAAAAAGTTATAAGCCATAGAGACTGCAAACACAACCGTTTCTGTTAATGTTTAGAATATTGTTACAAATTTTTTTTTTTCAAACCGGGACTGGGGATTGTTGATACTTCAGCTGTCATTTCCCCACGATCAGGCAGAAAAGCGCCTCGCCGTTGCTTGGGTTGGGGCTTGGGTGGTTTTAAGTAAGGGACTGAGAATGTTTCCTCGTTAGACAAAAAGAAAAAGAGACATTTGGACAAAAATCTGGGTCTGTGTTGAGCTTTGCATCTGCTGTGTGTGCAGAGCCCCCACTCCTGCCTCCTGCCCTCCCTTGCCCCAGGGATGAAGGGAATGCTTTGTGGGGCTGCATTCACATCCCAGCTCTCTGGTGAGGCACCAGCTGGAGATACCAACGCCATGGGATTTTGGGGGAGAAAGCAGAGGGTTTTGGTGTAGGAGCCTCTTTGGGGTGAAGGGAGGTGGGAGGTACGGCTGAGCTGCTGCCTGTCGCTGTGGGACGGTGCTGTGCAGCTCGAGGGCACCAGGAGGGTTGCAGCTTGGTTTTCTGATGGGCTTGGGGTGGCTGGGTAGGTTCTCTGGTGTCTAGTAAGGGTTGTGCTCACCTGGCAGCCTTTTGTGTGTACAGAACAAGTGTCTGGCCGCTGCGCCGACAGGATCAAACGTATGTTTGAGTCCTGTGCCCCTCGGCCACAGTTGGCTGAACCGGGTTGAAAAATTACTCCGGGGAGGAGGGGAAGAGCAGAGGGTGAGCAGGACAGACAGACATGTCTGTGCATGCAGGCTCACAAGGACAACTCAGCTGCATATTCCACATTCCTTTCCCAAAGCAGGCTCCCCACCTGGAAACCTGTGCACCAAAAAAAAAAAAAGCTGGCTCCTGTGCACCAAGTCACCGGTCACAAAGGGGGAGCGTTGAGTCCCCGAGGCTTGAATTCAGTGGCAGCAAATGCCAGCTCTTGGTGCTGACCCGGACAGGGCTGAATTTCCTTAAAATGTCTTTTGATTTGAGAGATCTGGGGATATTTCACCTGGCAGGGTGTCATGCAGGTACTTCTCAAGGGCTTTCGGTGCTGCCAGGTGCCAGCTGAGAGCGGGGTTTGCAGGACGGAGGGCTGACACAAACCGTTCTGCCCGGTCTTTGCAATATTTGTGAGTGAGCTCTGCCTGCGCAGACACAGACACTTCATCTGCTCCTGGCTTAAAATCTCAGGGGACTGTAAATGTTGCCAAAGAGACGGGGCCACATCATTTTTTTTTTTTGTGTTGAATGATAATAAGACGACATCGCTTGCAGGGATATTCTGAGGGCTTGGAGACCTGACAGCAAGTAAAACAAACCTCTGGGTATGCGGCATTGGGATTGCTGCTTGTTTTCATGGCACAATTTTGTAATTTTTTTTTTTTAAGCCAGTCTCCTGTTTCCTGAAAAGGCTATATTTAAGATGCATGTGTGTGTTTGGGGCTGGCGTGGGTATTGCTGAATTTGGCCTCAGCTTTCATGCTTGCTGGATCAAATGGAGGGGATGGATCTCACTGAAAACACACTGATGGTGACGAAAACACACAAACTCTCTTCCCTACTTCATCCCAAATTACTGAGGATTTCTCCATACCTTGGGATGTGTTAATAGGGTTTTTTTCCCAGCACGGAGGATGAATTCATGCTGCTGCAGGCCCTCCAGGTCTCCACCTGTCCATCTGTAGCCCAGGGGTGCTCCACACCTGCAGCTCTGCAGAGAAGCAGCGGATTGTTATCCCCTTTCATGTCCCCTTAGGAGAGAACCAGGCACCCCTTCTGCCATGGGATGGGAGGATGAGGATGACACAACCTCAGCTCCTCTCCTCTTTTTGTGTTTTCCTCCTTTGTTTGCCATGGTGTGTTTCCTGGGGCTGTGTGCTGTCGGGGTGCCTTGGGGTCACACGTGGTGCTGCCAGGGCTGGGGGTGTTGCTGTCAGAGGAGGGGTGACTGTGCTGCATCGCCTGTACCCCACAGGAGTGGGGGCGATCTAGGGGAGGTGGACTCACACCCTGAGCCAAGCGATCAGCCCCGTTGGCTGAAAATCCTGTGTCACAAGTGTCCTTTTCTCCTGCCGGGCTCCCTGGCAGGGCATGCCAGGCGCAGACTCCTCTGGCCAGCCTGCCATGCATTCCCCAGCCCAGGGGAATTGCTGGGATTCTTGCATTTCCTCCCCCAAAATGACACTGGCTGGACTGTGATGTCCAGTGAGCGTCAGCAGCTGGCTCCAAGGAGAGGACGGGGTCTCCTGACGCAGCAAGAAGCCCCCCAACCCCACGAGAGGCTCATTTTAGTCCCATGGTGTGAGCACATCCCATCCCTGGCAGATTCGCTCAACCTGGGTGCTGGGGCAGCTCTGCAAGGCCCGGGTTAGGGAAGGAGTCTCCAGCATTCCCAGCAGTGCCCACTCACCCATGTAGCTATTTTCTTAAAGCCCCAGCTCCTGGAGTCATGCCATCTGTGGAGGTGCTTGGCTTTTGCCAGTCCTCACTATCATGGGCAATTTAGGAAGAAGTTTGCAAGGGAACACGGTGCAGATAAACCACAAAGGCAGGCATGCCAACAAACCCCCTGTTTCGCCCTTCTTTTTTTTTTTTTTTTTTTTTTTTCCCTTTCTCAGAAAGAGGTTTGGGAAGAGGATTGATGGATTTGTGCTGTGATTTGCAGGTGGAGCTACTGCATTTCCTTGGAGCTTGAGCTGAGCCCTGACACGCTGCATGTCACAGGGCTTCCCAGCTCCTACTAAGGGGGCTCCCAGGAGAGCGGGGTCCTTGCGGGGACCTGCTCTGGCCCCCAACTTTTGGAGGTGAGAAGACCTGTCTGTTTCCTGCAGCGAGATCAAGGAATGAGCCTGGGTTCGAGTGTAGGGATTTACATCCAAGCATGAGCAGCCACTAGTGGTTTTAACCAGATGAGATGATGAGAGTGAATGGTGGTGCTTGAGATCAGCATGGGGGTGTTTCCTTGGGAGCTGTGGGTGCAGCAGAGGAGGGAGGAGCTGGCAGGGGGGGAGCTGGGGCAGATCAGGGGGGTGAAGGGGTCCTCAGCTCTCAGACCTTGCTCCACATCTTGGAAAGCGCACAACAAGCAATGGCTGTTGCTACCCTCTACCTCTTGCATCTCTTCAGCCTCTTCCTCCTCCTCCTTTGGCTCTCTCCACTGGGACATTTCCAGGTTGCACAAAACCCATGTGGGAAGGCTGAGCCGAGGAGTTTGGGAGTCCAACCAGTGTCAGGACCAGGTGTCTCCAAGGGATCTCTGCCCCAATCCTGACAGCTTTGAGAAGCCCTCACCTTGGGGTTTGACTTTCCAGCTCCCCGTGCCGCTGTGCCCCAGGGTGGATGTGTGGAGGGCAGGAGGGGTGTGGAGGGACCGGTCTGAGCATCACGGCCGTGATGCATTCTGAGGTCCTCACACCGGTCCTGCACTGAGGTCGACCTCTCCCCATCCCTCTGGGCATCCCACCCTTGGAGGAGGGAGCCCTGCTCAGGGGTCACCCATGCTGGGGCTGCCCTGCTTGGGTGCGCTCCTCACCACAGCCTGTTTGGGCTTGCAACGGCATGCAGTGGCATCTCAGTGGAGTGTCTGAGCCTGCAAAATGGGTGCAAAAATGTGACTGCCTCAAGGCTCTCGATTCAGGGGCATCGAGCCCTGAAGATGCACCTTCTAGGGCCCCCAGGTCACCCCACCTGCAGCGGAGGTGGGTGCAGAGATGGTGGAGAGAGGGAAATCCCCTCTGTTTGGGGGTTGTGAGCAACTTGGGATGCTGAAAAGCGGCTCTCTAACTCCCTCCTGCACCAGAGCCAGGAACCTCGGGGGAAAATCAACCCCTGTAGTGGCTGGGGAAGGAGGAGCAGGGCTGCGGGTGGCGGAGGAGCAGGCGCTGAAGGGTTAACAGGGAGTGTTTGCAGCCTGTCCCTTGTCACCAAGGAGAAGGGAACAGCACTTGGGAAGGAAACAAAACACCCACTGCCCAGGAGGGTGATTTCCTTTCCCCACGGACCCCAGAAGGGCTCCTGGCACTGGACGGTCAGTGCCACCATCCCGGGTGGCAGAGATCAAGTGGCACCAGGTGAGTCTGGTGGCTGCTGGGGAGGTGGGCTGGGGACACGGCCCCGGGCAGCTCCCCAAGTCCCCAGCACCCGGGTCCCCCACCACCCCGTTCCCTCGATCTCCTCCCAGTCTTATGGCAAAATGTGGGGGGCGCCGGGCACCGCGGTGCGGAGCATCCGCCCCTACCAGTCCAGCGAGCAGTACCTCTACGCCATGAAGGAGGACTTGGCGGAGTGGCTGAAGGAGCTGTACGGCCTGGACATCGGGGTGGGCACCTTCGTGGAGGTGCTGGAGACGGGGGCTGTGCTCTGCTCCCACGCCAACAACGTCACCCACGTGGCCGGGGAGTTTGCCCGCGCCTGCCCCGGCGTGGCACGCCACCTCCGCCTGCCCACCACCGGCGTCGCCTGCAACCTCGCGGCACAGCCGGGCACCTTCCAGGCCAGGGACAACATCTCCAACTTCATCCAGTGGTGCAGGAAGGAGATGGATATTAAAGGTAAGACGCCAGGCTCCAGCTGCCCCGTGGCCCCGTGTGCGAGTCCTTTCCAGCTGCTCCTGGCATCACCCTGGGTGTTTTCCCATGTGTCCCCCAAAGCCAGTGCCACCCCGGCATCAGACAGCACCATGCACATACATCCCTGAGCTGGGAATTCTTGCACAAGCTCCTCTGGGCTTGGAAGCAGCTTCGCAGGGTGCTGGCATGCGGTGGGTGTATTTGCTTGGGTGCAAATGCACACTGGAGGGGTTGAAATGGAAAGGGCGTGTGGCGCAGCGTGGCACTGCCATGCATGCCGTGATCCCAGCCACAGGGACATCAGGAGCGGTTCTGGCTCTGAGCAAAGGGTCTGTCACCCTGTCCCCACCACCAGTTGATGCCCAGGAGGGGCACGGAGTGCCATGTCCTCAGCGCACCCAGCCACTGGGTTTTGTGGCTTTGGGGTGCCGTGGATCACCCATAGCACCTTTGCATGCAGATGCCCAAGGGGAAGGCTCTTCCTCCATTAATTTATCCCAACTCTTGTTGGACCCAACCGTACTCCTAGTGGGATGGCTCCAGGCAATAACACCCTTTTGGGTGGGTTTTGACTCCACCCGTGCCCTGTGCCTCCTTTATCCCCCTCCCCACATGCCTGCCCTGGCTCAGTCCACCCTTGTCCTGCCCCAGACGTTCTGATGTTTGAGACGGAGGACCTGGTGCTGAGGAAGAATGAGAAGAACTTTGTGCTGTGCCTGCTGGAGCTGGCACGCCGTGCCGCCCGCTTCGGCATGCGCGCCCCGACCCTCGTGCAGATGGAGGAGGAGATCGAGGAGGAGCTGCGCCAGGAGCTGGACCTGCCGCCTGCAGACACCCCCCTGCCCCGGCCCCCCAGGAAACCACGGGACCTCCACAACCTCGATCAGATGGTACAGAGGGGCATGAAGTGGGATGGGGATGGGGTTGGGGATGGGGATGGGGATGAGGATGGCCACTCCAGGACCTTTCCCAGGAGCCCAGGTGAGGACCCATCCCTGCTGCCCACAGGTCCAGCACCTGGTGAGCCGCTGTACCTGCCCCATCCAGTTCCCCATGATCAAGATATCTGAAGGGAAATACCGCGTGGGTGACTCTGACACCCTCATCTTTGTCCGGGTGAGTCTGCTTTGCCCTGTGCTTTTGGGGCACAGGCACCAGGAATCTTGCTCTGATCCCACGAAGCCTCTCCCATAACCCATCCTCCAAATGAGGCCAGTGTGAGGTTTTTGACCATTATCCCCAAAGCAGGGCAGCAGGGTGCAGACAGGCCCTGTGGTACATGTTTGTACGGATGTAACCATCCATGTGTATGGGACAAAACCTGGCGTCCCACATCAAAACAGAGCCAGGTTTTACCCAGAAATGGGAACACAGGGATGCTCTGTCTCTGCCTGGATCTGTCCCTAAGCCTGGCCTGCCCAAAGGGCTCAATGGAGAGGGGGTTTCCAAAAGGATCCCCACTCTCCGTGGGGTGATGAAATGTACCTGTCGGGACAGCAGTGGAGCTGAGACCCTCCCTGCCCCTGTGGTGCTGAGCTGGGGATGAAGCTGTCCTTCGGGAGACCTGGTGGCACTTGGGGCAAGCCCACAGCTCTCGAAGCCTGGCCACCCCCAAACTGCTTAAAAAGAGGTGGAGATCCCACGGGTGTGTCGCAGGCACCTCCTGGGGCCTCACGGCACACGGCATCCCGCCCAGATCCTGCGGGAGCACGTCATGGTGCGGGTCGGGGGCGGCTGGGACACGCTGGAGCACTACCTGGACAAGCACGACCCGTGCCGCTGCACCTCCCTCTGTGAGTCCCTGCGTCCCCAAACCCCACGGCCCTGCCCCACGGCTGGGGTGGGGGGGGTGGGGGGAGTGGGGTGGAGGCTCTATCATGGATCTCGCTGCTTCTGGGGCTGTTTGCAGGAGCTTTGCTACTGAAATGCCTCGTTGCTTTGCTGGGGAATGTCTGATTTCGGGGACTCTCGTTGGCTTTGGTGGCCACTAGAGGTCACGGCAGACTTTTGGATGGAGCTGGACCCCAAAAGCCCTTTTGCAGGGAGCAGAGGTTTGCACCAGCATCCCCAGAAGGAGGGGGTGGGGGGAGCTGGATGCTGAGCAACGTCTGGGTGGGCTGCACGGGGTGGTGGGTGCAGTGGACAGGGGTGCTGAGCCCCTCTCCGCCCCCCCCCCCGCCCCGGTTTTCCCTGCAGCTCACAAACAAGCCTGGAAAACCAGGAGCCCCCAGCAGCAAGTGCAGCACGAGATCTGGCTGTGCCCAGCCTCGAAGGCAGCCGCCCGTGGCCAGCCCCAGCCCGCGCTGCTGGTCAGCCGCTCGCAGAGCCCCCTGCCCCCCGTCACCTGGGGGTCCCGTGTCCCCCCCGGCCCCCGACCCCCTGCCACCCCCTCGCTGGAGGCCTCGGGTCACCCGCCGGGTGCCAACCCTCGCCAGGAGCCAGCGCAGCCCCAGAGGGGCCCTTTGGGCAGGTAAGCGGTGCAGAGGTGCCCCAAACCGCCTGGTTTCCGTGCCGTTTTTCTCACATCCCAGAATTTTTTTGCCCCTCCCTTCCGGAGGTGCCCAGCACCGGGCTGGATGGATGGAGGGGGGGACACGCAGCAGCTCCCCAGCCCCTCTCTGCTCTCTCTCCTTGCAGGATGCGGGAGTCACCGGTTGTCCCTTTGGGGAGGCAGCCACCACCGTCCGGGTCACCTCCTCGACCCAGCTCCCCTGGCTGTGGGGTGACGAGCCGGGCACCCACCCCTTCCCGGCCAGCCCCCAGCACGCAGGACTGTGTAGGGGTCCCTAAGGTGCCGCGTGGGAGCACCTCGGGGAAAAACCCCACGGCACCGACACGGGGCAGGGCCATGACACCCAGCACCCGGCTGACACAGGCACCTCCTAAAAGCACCCTGCAAGGACGCAAATCATCTGCGACAGGTGCCAGGCTGCAGGAAGGGGGGGTCCTTGCTGCGGTGACACCCCGTGCCTCCAGCCCCAGCAAGGTCTGTGCCCCCTCCCCACACCGAGACGCCTGGGGAGACTCACAGAACCAGAAAATCTGGGGACCCCTTGGCAGGGGCCAACTGCCCTCACCCCGAAATTCCTCCAGCCAGCCCCCGAAACACGACGGCAGCATTAAACCCCTCGTCAAAGCCAACCCGGCCGTCTGCCGGCCCCCCACCCCTCTGGCCCATTTTGCAGATGGGTGGAAGGTCTGTGCTGCTGGGAGGGGTCCCCAGGGGACCCAGCAGTGCCACCCAGCCCCAAGCCCAAGGGCTGGGGGTGCCGAGGGACCTGGGGTGCAGGCTGATGAACCGGGGGTGGCCTGTGGCCCTAGTGGGGGGAGCGAGCGGCTCGGGGGGTGCTGGGGGCATGCACAGCCCCCTGGCTACAGCCAGGTGGTGGAGGAGCTCTCCCGTGGGCAGCAGTCCCTGCGCCCCGTGGGGCTGGGGAGGTGGGTCCCCAAAACGCCCCCACGAGCCACCTCACAGCCCACCGTTCTCCCGGTTAGGGGGGAGGTGGAGGCCCCAGGAACAGGGGGCCAAACCCCGCGGGGGGCCCGGGCCAGCAACGTCCCCAAGCCCCGGCGGTGCCTGAAGAAACCTGAGCGTGTGCCCTCCATCTACAAGCTGAAGCTGCGGCCCAAGGCACGTCCCCGGCGGGACCACAGGCCGGGCAAACGTCCCTCACGCATCCCCACCCCGCTGGGGCAGCTCCCACCTGCCCCCCGGGACCAGCATCGCCCCCCGGAGCCCCCCCGGCACCCCCAGACCCACTCTGCACTCCCCGGGGCCAAGCCCTCGCCGGCCGACAGCGGGGCCTGGCTGACCGAGGATGAGGAGGAGGCATGGGTCTGACACCCCCCCTGCACCCCGAGGTGGGGACAGACCCCTCGCTTGTCCGAAGGTGGGGGCGACGCTGAAGCCGGAGCTGAGGTGCCGGAGGTTGGTGTGGGCAGTGCAATGGATTTGTTCCCAGGCAACCCGGGGGTCCCCCTTCCCGCTCTCCAGAGCTGCACCCCCTCCTTCCCCTTGGGTTTTTTGTTTTGTTTTTTTTTTTGGGGGGGGGGGACACTGGTAATTCTCCTCCTAAACAGGCGCTCCTGTACTGGTTGGGTGGAAAAATTCTGCCCCAAATTGAGAGAATGGGGCACTGTCTGCAGGGAAGAGGGGTGGAGGGGTGTAGCCGGCCCCTATGGTGTCCCCCTAAAGTGGGGAGCTGGCATCCAAACATGCAAAACATTTGTACCTCAGTCTTCCCCGTCTGTACAATGGGACTGACAATCGGCATGCGTTACAGCACCAAGAGCCTTGATGAGTGTTGGGAGTCGCTCAGGTTGGGGGATCCCCAGAGGGGCTGAGCCCCCGCGGGGGTTCCTTATGCACAAAGGTGGGAGACCCGGGCAGGGGGAGGCGTCGGTGGCCACCTCAGCCGTGATGGTGGTCACCAAGGCTCATTGCAGACACCGCCGCACTCCCGAGCCTACAGCCACCGACCCGGCAGTGGTGGTTGTGCAATAGAGACGTACCAAAGCTCTTCTGTTTCAGCCTCTGTTCTGTGTGGGCGGGGAGGGAGAGAGGATAATCCTGATGAGGGGTCACAGCTGGTGGAGGGGGTTCGTGCTGCCAGTCTGCTGTCCGTGTGCACAGTGAAGGTCCCTCTGAGAGCCCCACGGCGGGGCCAGAAGAGCCCCATCTTCCATGAGAGGGTAAAGCCAGACCCACACCCATTCAGAGGAGCGTCAAAGGCGAGCGGCAGGGCCCTGTGGCTGCAAAACTTGCTTGCAGAATTACTCCTTTTGCAGGAGAGAAGGGAATTCCCCCAGCCGGGCCCGTTGCCGCTGGCAGAAAGGCTGTGAGAGCGGCGGTGGGGCAGTGAGCAAACGGGCGCCACGGGCAAAGAGCAGCGAGGCGGGTACAGAGCAAGGGGGGACAGACCTGATTTTTAATTCGATTTCAAAGAAGGGGGGTGCAGGGTGTTACAGGCGGTGTGGACACCTCGGGATGTCTCCGACAAGAAGTCCAGGGGGGAGAAGGAAAGCCAAGTGCAGGCAACCGGGACGCTCACCGGGGCAGGAGGAGGGGGAAACGTCCTCGCCGGGGCTGGGGCGAGACCGGGCATCGCCTCCTGCGGCACCACGTGCACGGGGGCAGAAGCCCGGCACTGCCCTGGGGACAGCGGTGGGGACATCCCCAGCCTCTCCCAGGCTCAGGAGCGGGATATTTTTAGCAGGACCGGAGTGGCATTGGGCGAGCAGTGACCCTTCGTACTAAGGGAGCGAGCAGGGGCAAGGCGCGGGTCGCTCGTAGCTGCCGCTGCGCTCCTGGCTGCTCCGGGCCCCGCGAGCCCGGACCCCCCTGCCCCGGGTCCCCCGCCTGCGCCCGGCGGGGACCACCACCTACCCCCTCCTGGGCTCGCGGGAAAGTAGCTCTTTGTTGCCCTCGTTTTCTCAGGAGCTGGGAAATGCTGTCAAAGCAGTGAGAGTTATTATTACTAATATAACTTTCTCTGTCTATAAAGTACAAGAGAGTATAACAATTATATTTATAACCTTTTTTTTTTTTTTTTTTCCAAAATACTAAATAGACGCTATAAAAACCTGTAACTAATTGTGCTATAAACTGCAGGCTACAGGGTTATAACAAACAATGTATTGGCTTAGTCGTTGATATGTGTACATCAGAGCACTTTATAAATGCTTTATTATTAGCATTTACCAAGGAGTTTCCGTCTCAAACAATTTGGAGGGATAAAGCTAGCCAGAGACTGATAACGTGGACTTACACGTGTTAATAAATCCTGACGAGATGAGGTCGGGGGGTGCCGGTGGGTTTGCTGTGAAGGTGAGGGATGCTGATGAGTGCCGCTGCCCTTCCCCGCAGCCACCCGAGACAGACCCTGTGTCCCACCATCGCCTTTCCTCTTGTGTACTTCATTTTTTTTTTTTTTTTTTTTTTTTTTTTTTGGACCAAGCGGAACCGGGCTTGGTTCCCAAAGTGGCTGCTGGGGGCGGGAAGGGAGGAGCAGGGTGAGCCCCAACCCCACAGCATCGGGGCTGCAGCACCGGGCCCCGGCAGCAGGGATGGGGCGGTGAATGCGCCGTGCCGGCGCTCAGCTGGGCCCGCTCTTAACAGAAAGTGTTACCGAGAGCACCGCGGTGCTTCGAGATGGAAACCTGGCCGGGGGGGCGGGGGGGGGGGAGATGGGGCTGGCGGCCTTCTGCTTTGCTGCCGAGAGCGGCGCTGGATACCTGCATCCCCTCGTTACGCCAGAAATCGCTGAGATGGTTTTGCTGGAGGATGGACCAGCCTCAGATCCTGCCTCGGCGGGGGCGAGGATGGTGTTTCCCCGTGTCTCACAGGGATCCGCCAAGAAGGAGGAACCACAACCCCCTCGGCCTCCTGCCCACCCCTTGTTGGCACATCGCCCCAACACCATTTCCTAACAGGGGCTGCACTTTGCCACCCGCCCTGCAGGAGAAGACAGAGGTGAGCTGCGAGTCTGGTGTAAAAGCAAGCTGAAAGAATGAAAAATAGTAAAAATAATAATAATGGGGTGGGAGGGGGGGGGCTACATTCCTATTAGGGATAGGCAGAGAGGGAAATAAAGGAAGGCAACTGGAAATGCAACGCCAGCTCCCTATTGCTTCGGAGGCTGCTTCTGCACGGCTGCCATCCCCCGGGGATGGAGGCGCTGCCGTGGGTCAGACCTGCCCCACGGCACCGCTGGTGGGGTGCAATGGCGTGGGGGGGCTGCCTGCCTGCCCGGGAGATGCCGGGGGTTTGGGTTGGAGCCGTGCAAAGCCGGTCGCCTGCTGAGCCCAGGACGCGAGGTAGCAGAGGGGTGACCTGCCTGGCAAGGAGTGTTTCGAGATTATTTGGTGTTCGACAGGCTGGTGGGGGAGGAGAAGCCTTCCTTGGCTGAACCAGGGCAGAAAGAGGACTCAAAGCCCTGGGGAAGCAGCACCCAGCACCCCGGGGGGATGTAAGGGGCAGGATGGGGGCTTTATTTATGATTTTTTTTTTTTTTTTTCTTGCTTTCATCCAGAAATTCTGCCTGGAAATCTGGCCCAACTGAGCCAAAGGAGAGCCCGTGTAACCTGACCTCTTGCCAGAGGCTGCCCTCCAAGGAGACAAACCCCAGCTCTGCAGGGAGGAAAACAGGACTCCCATCGCCACCCGTGCCCCAGGGATGGAGCCACCTCCCCCCTCCGCCGCCCCCTCCCCGGCACATCAGGACACAAGTGCCAGGCAAGTTCCTTCCAGAGGGCAGGTGCTGGGAGGCTGCAGCAAGCACGGCCCCTGCGATGCCGGGGCAGGAGCCAGCAAGGATGGACCCAACAGCCAAGCTCTGGGCACCATCTGAGGCATCTCCTCCACACCCCCGGGTGCCACGCAGCATTTTCAGGCACGGCAGAAACACACACACACACACCCCCCCCCAGCTCCGGGGAGATGGCTTTGGCCCCGAGTGCCGAGGTCCTCCCTCACCCCTCACTACCTCCGGGGCAGCCTGGCCAACCCACCCACTCCCACCCACCGGTGGCCACCGCATCACCCTGCCCAGCACCCGCCCAAGGTGCAGCATCCCCCCCAAATGTCACCGCAGGGCGCTGGCGGGGAAGCAAACCCCGAGGTGCCTCCGGCGCAGCTCCCGCCGCGGCATCGCCCCCGCAGAGAGCGGCGTCGCCGGTGCTCGCCGGGGAGCCGCGGTCCCCGAGGACGGTCCGTCGGGGGGCCGGGGGCGAGGGGAGGGGGGGGTTGGAGGAGGAGGAGGGGGGGGGGCTCACATGATGGTGCACCGGTTCCTGCGCAGGGCGCCCTGGAAGCGGATGGTGGTGTGGACGTGCTTGCAGCGGGCGCAGCCCACGCTCTTCAGGAGCTCGCTGAAGAGCAGCAGGATGTGCCAGTTGTACTTGGCCGAGCACTCGATGTAGCCGCACTTCCACGTCTTCTTCACCAGGTTGGAGACGTTCCAGCGCGGGATCACCCGGCCCCGCTGCAGGTCCCGCTTGTTGCCCACGATGATGATGGGTGTCTCCGAAGTGCCGATGACCCTGGGGAGGGCGGGTGGTGAGGGAGGACAGAAGGCGACGACTGACCCCAGCCCGTCCCAAGCCAGCTCTTGGCTTTGGCTTGCCAAGAGGGACGTGCGACCTCTTGGCCTGTGCCCTTGTCCCTCTCCGTGGCCAGCCACTCACCGTGCCAGCCCCAGTTGCTTTCCCAGGGCTGGCTGCCCTCGCCCCCAGGGGATACCTGCCTGGGGCCCTGCTCCTTCTCCTGCGCTTGGGTCCAGTTTTACTTTTGCTTTTGGGCTCCCAGCCCCGCAAAGGGGCTTTGTCCCAGTCTGTAATACCTCATCTCCAAAGCCAAGAGCAGGGGAGCACTGGGGCAAGCCATACCGCCCTGCTGGGAGCTTGGGGGGGGGATGCACCCTCTAGCGAAGAGGTCCCTACCTCGTTTCCAGGATCTGCTGACGGATGGTTTTGATGTACTCGAAGCTGTCAAAGCAACAGATGTCATAGACCAGGATGTAGGCATGGACGCTCCGGAGCCCCCTGCAACACACGTCCGCCCACTCCTGCAAGGTGCAGAGAGGGATCAATCCTGGCTCAGCCCCTCGCTGTGCCCGGGGGATGCCCTGCACTGCTTCGGGGCTGGGCACGTCAGGGAGGCTGCTGTGCCAGCAGGTAGCAAGGGGGCTGGCACGGCACCCGGCACCCACCTCTGCTCTGCTCTGCCCTGACCCCTCCCTGCGACGGCTGCGTCTGCCCCCCACAGCCCTGCAGCCACCCCCCCACCCCCTCACCCCCCATCTCTGGAGATCCTTTATCCCCCCTCGTTAATCCAGATGCGAGGTAACAGGATTTGTCAGCCCCAATTCCTCTCTTGAGCAAGGATTACTGTTTGCCTAATACACAGCGGCCCAGAGGCTGAATGCAGCCCCCTGCCCTGGATGGAAAAGGTTCATCCTCTAGAGCTGCTAATTAGGTGTGTTAATTAGTGGCGCACCTTGGTTTTGGGGCAGGGCAGGTGAGGAGGATCCCTGTCCCCATGGGGCTGGGTGTGAGGGACCAGCAGCTCCGTGGGTCAGAGGGGAAAGGTGGCAGCAGGGCTGGGGGGGGGGCGGGACATGGGGACAGGAGAGGAGCAGTAGCTGCTCGGGAGTGGGGTGAGTGAGATCGGGAGCTGAGGCAGAGGCAGTCAGGGGTGGCATTTCCACAGCCAAAATTCGGAGCTGTAAGAAATACATGTTGTTAGGAAAGCTTTGAGTTTCCAGGAATAACAGGCTTTTTTTTTGTTGTTGTTTCCACGCTATAAGAGTTAAAATCTGCCCCACTTCCAGCCACTTTCCCAGCCCAGCAGTGGTACTGGGAATGGCAGCACATGCAGGCAGCACCACAGACCCTCCTGAGCACCACTGGAGAGGAGAAGGATGCACCAAGGAGGAAAGGCATCACTTCTCCCCAGGCAAACCTCTTCAGTATCATGAATCATCCCTTTCTGAGTTTATCATCAGAATAAGGCAAAATGAGAAGACCTCAGACCAAAGGAAATTGGGAAAAGGAAAGTTTTGGGGTGCGGGCTGGTCTCCATTGCAAACCACAGCACAGCAAGGAGCTGGGAGCGAGCGGCGTGACACAGCCCCGCTCCTGCCCACTGAGGGGAGATGATGTGGAGCAAATCGGTCTCAGAGTGATGCAGGTGGATGAAGCAGCAGTGTCTCAGGTTCCTCTGAGTCCTGATACACCTGGGAGCTTAATAAATTGCAGCTATTTCACCACGCTGGGGTGCAGCTTGCCCCGGCGCTGCGAGGTCGGGATGGTTTTCCCCACGCAGGGCAGGGCTCCCGGGATGCTTGGGGCTGGAGCAGGGTTGCAGTGCGCGTCCCGCCTGGCCCCGTGCGGGATCAGGCTGTCGGGGAGCCACTGGCTCTCACTCCTCTCCCGGAGCATCGCCGCAGGGATGCTGCTCCTGAGCACAGAGCAGAGCCCAGCGGTGCTTCCCAGCAGAGCCATATCCCCCCACCGTGGTCGTCTCCTTTCCCCTCGGAGCCATCCCTCCGACCACCCTCTCTTCCCCGGAAACCTCCATCTGTTCCCACCAGCCGCCTCCTCTTGAGCACAGCAAGGCAGGGAGTTAATTAAGTATGTTAGCATCGGCTGCCGTGTCAATAAATTACCCTTTGCTATTTCGGGCTGTCTCTCACGCTGACCTTTCATTCCCTCCACACGCCGATTAATTTTTAAACCTCCTCCTCACCCGCGGAGTGCTCACTTCGCCTCCTGCCTAATGGCACAGGGGAGACTTGGAGCACTACAAGGCCCCTATAGCCCCATCCCCGTTGGGCACAGGAGCAATATAATTGTGTTGATTAAAAATACAAGAAAGTCCAGCTCCTGTGGAGGTGCTCCCACCGGTGGCATTGCCCTCCGGTGTGGCTATGGCCACGGTTGGGCACCTTTGGCTCCTTTTCTCGCAGTGATGGCCCAACTTGTGCCCCCGGGACAGGGCTACAGCATAAGCTTAAAATCCCCTTTTTCCCCATTAAACCCCACAAATGCAGTTGGCACTGGTGGCAATGCCTTCCAACCCCATGCTGCCTTTTGGGGCTGTTTTGGAAGCACCTGAGAGCTCGGGGGGGGTTGAGGAGGAGCTGGTGGACTCGGCACTCTGGGGACAAGCCCAGGCAATGCTGGGGGGGGGGGGTGATGGTCACTCCACAAGGGGACAAGCAGCCCCACTCTGCCTGGCTGGGGCCGTGGGTGCATCGGGGGTCTGGCTCTCCAGGAACCCCTGGTTTTCACCCAAATGCTCTGCCCACGCTCCCCCAGCCTTTTGCTGGCACTGGCTCTGACAGCCGTGGAACTGGATCCCAGTGCCCCGGGATGGACGGGGCTGTGGGCATCACCAGAGACCCGGGCTTCAGAGTGGGACGGTGTCCCTCCCGCGTTTGCCATCATTTTAGGTGAAAAAGCTTTAAAATACACTTTGTCCCGGGCCTGCTCAGCCAGCAGCCGTGAGGATGCAACCCCCTCGCACCAGCTTTTAGCAAGCAAACCCCAAGGTGGCGGGAGAAGCAGCCCCTGAAGAGAAGGAACCGGGACCCCGCAGGGTGATACGGCGAAAGCCCAGCGAGGTGACCAGAGACCCCCCCCCCCCCGACGTGGAGATCCCAGGTGTGCCCCTACCTGCAGGGTGTTGACGGGGAAGGCGGTGATGGGGGGAAAGTCCATGATCTGCAGGTCGTGGACGTGGCCGTTCATGACGACGGCGGGCAGGTAGACGCGGCGGGCCGTGGTGGGCACGCAGACCTCGCTGAACTCGTTGTAGAGGAACTGCCGGACTATGGCGCTCTTGCCCACGCCCTGGGCTCCCAGCACAGCGATCTTGAACGTTGCCACCATGCCGCTGCGCGCCGGCCGCTGCCCTGGTGCTGCCCCCGCGGTGCCGAGGCTGCATATTCCCGCGCAGGGGGCTTCAGCCCCATTCAGGATGCATTTCCCCTCCGGGACAGCCCGTCACTGCAAGGCCAAGGAGAAGCTGGTCAGATCGGAGAGACAACCCTGGCAGACCCCACTATCGCTTCAGGCGATATTTTTCCAAGCGGAAGCCCATGGAAAAGGGTTATATCTGTCCTCAGGGAACAGGAGCATCCCTCAGGGCTGGGCCACATCCCCAGCGGGGGCCTTGGCACCGCGACACCTCAGGGTCCCCCTTGGAGGCTCCCGCTCTGCAGATCCAAGGAGAGACAGGATTTGAGTGAACTTCATCCCAGGAAGGTTCTCACAGCCCTTTCGGTACCAGAGCAAGGAAAAACTCCGGGAAAGGGAATGTCTGCAGCCCAGCCCCGGCAGCAGCGGGGTCCCAGGCTGTGTTGGGGACTTGTCCCACAGCACCCACAGGGTCTGTCACTGGCTGCTCCATCCCAGCGCTGCCCCAAGCTGGGGAATCCATCTTCCCTCCGTTTGGACAGCCAGAATTGCCTTTTGCCGGGGCGGGGGGGGGCGATTGCTCTCTGCCTGCAAGCGACAGCTTTAATGTTTAATTTCAGGCTTTGAGCGGTTTGGCAATTAACTTGATGGAGGCTAATTTCCGAGCCAGCTGACGGGGTGAGCCCACGAGCCGCTGGCACATGTGCTGAGGCCGGAGGGGCCCCGGGGCAGGGCCACGCGTGCGGGAGGACACAGGGTGGTAGCCCATACACGAGGATGCAGGAGACCAGTCCAAGGGGCCTAAACGCCCACTGGCACCTGGTTCCAGACCAGAAGCTGTGATGGAAACAGCAAGGGTGAGGGGCTGTGTCCCACTTCTGCTCGCTGCCATCGCTACGGAGCGGCTTGTACTTTATCCCGAAGTGCAGATGCTTGTACCAATTTGTGATGAGCTGGTCCATTTTCCCCTGAAAACCATTCCCAAAGCACAGGGCAGTGGTCCCTGTGCTGGCAGAAAGCGGCAGGTTCAAACCACCCTGTCCGGCCTGTTTGCTGGAGGTTATTTGCCCTGGGGAGAGCCCAGCCGTGGAGGTTCCTGCTGCGGGGTGCAGGGGAGGCCGGGGTCCCCGCGGACCCCCAAGACAGGCCCTGGCTCACACCATCCTCACCCTCCTGACAGCGGGGCTGAGGGCCGGCAGGGCCTGATCCAGCCCCAGGGCAGCAGGGTGGGTCTGTGCCCAGGGCTGGGGCCCGTGACACGCCGTGCTGCTGGCACCGAACCCCGGGGTGCTGCCTGCCCTCTGGGATATGCTCGCCCCAGCCCCGGCAGCAGGAGCGTGTCTGTGCCACGCGCAGGGAAACGGGGGGTGCAGGAACCCCCACGCCCGGCCCTTCTGGGGCCTTTCTCCCCCAGCAGAAAGCACTGTCATTGCAAGTCCCGGGGGGCCACTCTGCTGCAGGGACAAACCCCGTCCCCCACAAACCTTTCCTCCTCGCAGAAGCGACCCCGACACCTCTGCTGGTGACCCAGCACCTGCACGGCCGCCCCAAACTGCAGAGCGGGCTGAGCCCTGTCGTGCCACCCCCAAAACCCCCCGTCCCCCTCCATGGCCACGCACGGGGAGGGCTGGCTCACGGGCCCCAAAAAGCGGGCTCGAACCCCGAAGCATCAGAGGCAGCCCCGATGGCTCCCAGCCCCATAAGCGTCTCGCACCAGCACACCACCGTGGGAAACTGAGGCGCAGAGGGGGGGTGCAGCCGGGGGGGCCCCGTGGTGAGGTGTCAGAGCGGGGAGCAGCCGGGGGGGCCCCAGGCTCTCAGCACAAGGCCGAGCTCGGTGGGCTGCGGGGCCGGGCGGAGGCTCTCAGGGTGCTCCCGGGAAGGATGCCCCGACCCCCGGCGCGACCTTGGGGCACCCCGCCACCCCCCCGTACCTGCTCCCCCGCGACAACGGGGGCAGCCAGAGGAGCAAGCCCTGACCCCCGCGGCACCCCGCATCCTACCGCGACCCTCCCCGGGGGGATGTTCCCTCCGCGGCGGGCGGCGCAGCATCCCCGGCACCGGCCCGCGGGGGTGGGGGGGGGGGAGGTGCTGGGGCTGGGGGGAGGTCTGGGGGTGCCGGGGGACACACACACGCACCCCCCCCGGCAGGCAGGGTGGGAGGAAAGCGGGGAGTACCTGCGCTCAACTTTCGCTGGGGATCCTCCCCCCCCCCCGCCATCGGTTCCCCCACCACCTCGGCCCTGCCCAGCGGCAACTTTGCCCCCCGACCCCCCTTCCCGGCGGGCCCCCCCCCCCTTTACCTTGCAGCGGCGGCCCGGGCCGGCGGCGCCCCGGCGGGCGGCGGAGCCATGCGGCGAGCCCGGTGCGGGGCGGGCGGCCCCGCTGCAGAGCCCCGGCCCGGCCCGGCCCGGCCCCCGCCCGGCGCTACCGAGGGGCCGGAGGCGGCGGTGAGGGGCGCCGGGCGGGGGGCGCGGCCGCCGCTGGGTCGCAAAGCCCGGCCGGGGCTGGGGGCCGGGGGGGGGGGCAGGAGGCGGCCGGGGAGGCAGCGCCCGGGGAGGGCTGCGGGGAATGCCCGGGCGGGGAGGCAGGCAGTGCCTGGGGAGGGAGGCAGGCGCTGCTCGGGCGGGGACGCAGGCAGAGCGATGCCCGGGAGTGATGCAGGCAGCGCCCGGGGAGGGATGGAGGCTCTGCCCAGGCAGGGATGCAGGGGATGCCCGGGGAGGGATGGAGGCTCTGCCCAGGCAGGGATGCAGGGGATGCCCGGGGAGGGATGGAGGCTCTGCCCAGGCAGGGATGCAGGGGATGCCCGGGGAGGGATGGAGGCTCTGCCCAGGCAGGGAGGGAGCCAGCGCCGGGGAAAGGAGGCAGGGAATAGCCCAGACCGAGTCGCAGGAAGCCGGGAGGGACACCGGCTGCTCCCGGGGCTCTGGGGAGGTGCTGATGGTAAAAGGCCCTCCCATGTCCCCCCTGCAGCGTGATGGGTGCAACACCCTCGCCCCTTCGCTCCCCGGCACCCAGCAGCACCTGTGCCCTCATGCCCACCCCGCGGGAGCCCTCCAAGGCCGGACTCCTTTGGGGGAGGAGGGTCGGACCCCTCCCAGGGAGCCGTTCCTTCCTCTGACACCGCTGCTCGGTATGCTCTTGGGCACATCACTTCACCTCCTTGCTCTGCCAGCCCCCGGTCTCTGTGCCCGCTGTCACCGGGGGGTGCTCTCGGTCTGGGGTGGTGCCGGGTCCCACCAAGGGAGGGACATTTCTGTTGAGGTGTCTGCCTTTTTGAGACACCCCGCACCGAGCGTTTACCTGGGCGCTGGATAGCGAGGAAGATGCCGGTCGCGCCTCTGGGGAGCGTGGTCCAGGCCCCCACGACACGCTGCCGGTGGACTCCCCGCACCTCTCTTCTCCTCGAAGCAGACCCTCAACCGCTGCTCCTGCTCACCGTGACACCAGCGAGCACCGGGGTGGCTCTGTGGGTCTGGCTGCGATCACGCAGGCTTGGCTGAGCCCGAACACCGGCCACGGCGCGGCCAGGCTCCCCCCAGCCTCGTCAGCACCTTTGGCCGGGAAATACATCATGTCCAGGGCTCCACTCCAGGGTGAGGAGAGGGCACAAGTGGAAACACAATGCTGTATCCTTCCTGAGGGAAAAGGGCACGGCAGACACAGCCCCAAGGCTTGGGGGGACAAGGGCAGCTGGCAAAACACGGGACAGCCTGTGTGCTTCTCTGCACCAAGGCCGGGGCTGAGGTCAGCACCAGGCAAGGGGAGTCAAAGCCCCGTTTTTGTTTCGCACATTATCACCCAGGCTTTCAGAGATTTGGCGCTTATTTCCCTGCAGAGCTGCCTGATGCTCGCAGCTAGGGAAATATTTAGGTGTCCCTGGGGGTTATTACCAGCCCTAGAAGCTGCTCTGCTTCCACAGCTGCCCAGCTCCTCTTCCCTGCATCGCCATAAACCAGCCCCGAGCCCGGGAATATTTCAGGGAGAGGGCAGGGATCGCCGCTGCATATGAACTCGCCTGCACAATTCAGGCTCCAGCCTCGGGGCTATTTTTAGCAGTTCCCTCTGAGATGCTCTTCACTTGCAGTTTTATTTGTGAAATTTAATATACGAGGCGGGGGGGAGGGGAGCGGGGCTGGATCCTGGTGCGTCCCCGCTGGCTGGGAGGCTTATCCCAGCCTCAGCGACAGAAAACCAACGCAAACCTAAAATCATCTGTCAAAGAGCTCCCGGATCCTGGCACGCAGGCGGCAGGAGGGGACAGGCAGAGCTGATGGCTCAAGGGGCCGTGGTCAGCCCCCACCTCTGCCAGAGCTTCCAAAATCCTTGGGCGAGTCCCTGCCTCTCCCTGAGCTGCATGGTGGGCTCAGGGACCTGCTGTGACCCGATGCTGGCCCTCAGCACACGCTCTGGCATGGAGCAGGATGCGTGCAAGGCCGGCAGGAGCAGCAGGGGTTTTGGGGGGGGCTCGCCCAGCACAGCAGGGCTGACCCGAGCTCCAGCTGGAGCAGCAAGGGGCAGCCCGGGAGGTCCCTGCCCCACAGCACGGGCCTCAGGAATGGGGAAGGTGGCGGGAGCCGTCCATCCCACAGCAGCTCCCAGCCCAGGGAGCGTCACCTGTGTCCCCTGAGCTCCCAGCACCGGTGGCTAATGATGTTAATGAAGCAAACCCACTTTGCAAGGTACAGCATGGCCCGGGGTTGGTGTGTCCCCATTTGCGGGGCGTGAGTGTGCCTGCAAATCCAGAGCAGCAGGAAACACCAATTTCTCCCTGAGGAGCCCCCGGCAGAATGGGGAGGGATGGAGAAACCTTTCCCTTTGCCACAGGACATGAAGGGGACAGCGGTCGCCGTGGCAGAGCCCTGAGCATCTTACAGCAGCTTTTGTTCCTGTTGGTCCAAACGCTGCCCCAGGCTCACGCCCAGCACCGCAGCAGGAGCAGAGGCACAGTGGGGAACGACGGTCTGGTCCCATTCCATCCCACCCCCTCCCCAAGGACTGGGCGTGCAGCCCACCCCAGGCACACCAGGGGTGCATGGAGGGACGTGACAGCAACACCCGTTTTGCCTGCCACTCTTGCTACTACACACATAGGCCAGCTTCTAACACAAAAACATCCCAGGGCAGAGCATCGGGGGCTGATGCCAGCCCAGGTCCTCGGAGGGTAGAAGTTACCTTATCTCCAAGTGCTGCTAAGGCAAGGCTGGGCAGGGGCGAGGGAGAGATGCTCTGCTTGAGAAAAGCACCTCAAAAAGTGCTTCATGTGTTGTTGCATTTCTGGCCACGTCCAGTGCTGAGTTTGGGGCTGCCTGAGCTTGGCTCCAGCCCCATACAGAGGTTTTGCAGCCCAAAACAGGACCAGCGGTGGCAAAGCCCTCTAGAAAATGCCAGCACCAGCCCGGAGCAATGCAAACGCATCGCGGCCTCACATGATTTTATCATTTCACCCCAGGGAAAGCAGGTCACATCACACACAGCCCACCTGGGGCCCAGAAAGGGCTAAATGTGTACATCCATCTCGCGCTCCTCCTCAGAGGCTGTCGGCGCCGTGGTGCCCGTGCCCTCTGCACGCCAGGGCCCTGCTCCTGCTGCCCTTCGAGACGAGATGAGAGCAGCAGCTGGAGGCAAAGGGCTGAGGATGTTTGCTACCTCCTCACCCTACAAGCCTCTGTTTTGCGTCTGTGGGGTCTCAGCTGTAGAAGAGAATTGGCTGGTAAAAAGAGGACGAAAGGCTCCCGGTGAGCAAACAGCCTCCTTCTCACCAAATCCAGCCTTCAGCCCCGCCTGCTCCCACGGGCAGGGCCCGAAGCAGGGCAATTGGATCCTCTCCCCTGCCCCACAGAGCCACACGCAGCCACAGCATCGTGGAAATGAGTTTATTGACACGGACGGCAGGTAAAGCCTGAAGAGCAACACAACTACGCGGCGAACACTCGACCGAGCGGCGCGGTGGGAGAGGAGGGCGAAACGCCACCGACCGAGCCCAGGCTCTGCCCCGCAGCACAGAGACACCCACGTGCCCGAGAGGCTGGGAAGAAACGTGGCAAGGGAAGGGGGTGCTCAGCAACCCCTCCCTGCCTCAAAGCTACACCGGCTGTTCAGTGCAGCAGGCTGAAGTGCTTGTTCCTGACCCTCTATCATCTCCTCCCTGCCCCAACACAGCATCGCACTCAGTGCCACTGGTGCTTGCTTAATTGCTCTATTAATGATTTTTGCAGTGCACCCGCAGGGCTTGGAGCAAATTACCTCCCAGCACGCATGGGCAGGGCTCCAGGGCTGGATTGCTTCAGCTCTGCCCCACTTTTTCCCCTAGTCAGACACAGGGGTTCCTACACAACAGGGACACCACCTCCCTCAACATCCTGCAGCTCCCAGGCCCTGCTGGAGTCTCTTCCAGGGCATTGTGACCTTTCCCTAGCGCTGGCTTCCTGGTTGCAGACAGTGCCAAAGCCCTAGCGAGCCATCTCCCACCATAAAACATTTATTGACTTTGAACATGGCATCTAAAAAGACAAGATGGGGTTTGCTATGCGTAAGAGCTTTGCTTGCTGGGGAGGAGATGGCGTCGAAGCATGCTGGGGAGGGGGAAGCTGCTCTGGTTAGTGGCTTGGTTGAAGCAGGACAAGCTATGGATGGAGCAAGGACATGCAAGAGGCTTTGCTTTCACTGCTGTTGCTGCAGCACTTAGTGGTTGCAATGTGGTGAGTTCACGGCCACGGACTGGAAAGGGAAGCAGTCCTGGCCCCAAGGACAGGTCGGGAAAGAGGGGCCAGGGTGTGGGGCTGCTGAGGGCAGAGGGTGAGAGCAGGAACCCGACTGGGCCTTGTTACCACCTGCCTCTGGGCGCAAAGACCCAAGCTGCAAAGGGAGGAAAGGCTTCCGTGATCCACTCGACTCCCAGCCCAGCGCCCGAAGCCCCCCGGCAGGCCCGGTGCAAACGCCACCAAGCCCAAACCATCTCCCAGTACCCCACAGCCTGGGTTTTGGGGGACAGCAGGGGACCAGGGAGAGCCGCTCCACTCCCTGAAGCGCCCCCAGGACACTGCCAGCAGCAGCCCCTCTCCGTAGGGGAAGCAGCGTGGCCACGCTCAGATCTATCAGCACGGCCCTTGGGGAGTGCCGGGGGTGAGCGCAGTGCCGGGCGAAGGCGGCACAGCTCAGGGGGTGGCCGAGAAGGCAGTTTGGCCGTAACAGGCACGGAAAGAACAAGAAGAAGGGGGGCTGCAGATGGGGGAGGATGCAGAGGCCATCCCTGGAACTCTGGGAAGAGCCTTTTGCTCTAAGAGCAGGCTCATTTCCTTCATTTCATCCACCGCTGTCCCGTTCTCAATCTAGGGCTGCAGCTCCTCCCCACACAAAAGCAGCCTCACTTCTCAAATCAGCAGCTAATGAGCCAGGGAGATGGTTGGAGTGAAAACACACCATCAAAAGCAGAGCTGAGTCTGCCAGCACAAGTGTAATAAAAAACCCCTTCTCTTTAGGGCTCCATCCGCCTCCACGGACTGAACTGATGGCTCTGTTCCTAGTTCCCCGAGGCCATGCTCACCCTGCCAGAGCCTGACATCCCTGCAGGGCTCCCAAGACTTCCTTGGAATCACCTTCCCTTTAAGCCAATTACAATAGAAAAACTCCAAAAAAAAAGTATAAAAATATAAAATAAAGTGCAGTGTTATGTTTTCGACACTTTTGCCTTGTTTTAATGAGCTGACAGGTGGTTTTTGCTTGTTGTTTTTTTTTTTTTTTTTTTTCCTTCAATGAGCGGTATTTTACAAAATCGTAACTACGCCTAAAGCCATTTAGAAAACACTGAACATTGGCACAAAATGGAGAAGCCCACGAGAACGGACGAGTGAGGGGTGAGGGGGGTGTGGGAGTAGTTGAAGCAGTGGTTACAAACTCCATGGACGCTAAAAATATCAAAGGGGTTTGTTCCCTATCATCATTAGCACGTGGATACTAATTGCTACCTTGTTTAATCAGTGCCTTTGACTGAAATCCTACACATGAGTACAGCTGCTTCCAGTTAAAGAGTGCTTTTCCCTGCACGGGTGGTGAAGGAGGATCCGGGGACCCCTTTCTTCCCCCTCCTTCTGCAGGGTGAGGCACAGGCTGATCTCCTGTTAGTTTTTCAAGATGGCATCGTAGGCCTGGTAGATGTACTGGGACACTTCAGGAGCTCGGCACTTCAGGGAGAGCTGTGGAGAGGAGAGGAGAGGTTAGCAGTGGTGCAAAGGAAGGCAAGAGCTTTCTACTGTCTCCACGAGGCCACTGGAAATGTCTGACCTGCAGCACGGGTGGGACAGATCATAGACGTGGCTGATGACAGTCCCTCAGAATATTTCTCCTGGATGTTGCTTTCTTAGTCACCAACCTGCCTTTTCAGAGCTTGCTACGAGCAGGAGGAGGTACATGAAAGCAAACTCTCACTGTGGGGATCCCTAATTCCTTAACAAATGTAGGTGCCTCTGCAGGCATGAAGGAAAGGGACATTGCCCCAGACTCTGAGACAA